TTGGATCCGTCTCCTCCTGTGGCTGATGCAACCCCGTGGCAAAACGTAGCTCTGGAGGTCGTCTGTCGCCTCAGCCAAGGCGAGGTTTCCTCCCCGGGCTTCCCCCCCTCCCGAACCCCCCTTCCCCTTTGTGAATAAAAGAGGCCGACCTTGTGAATTTTGCTGGCTGACGTAAATGGGCCGCAGTTAACTCGCATCCTGTCTGCGCTGGTCAGAGGAGCCGCGGGGCAAAGCACCCCTCCCCAAACACCCTGGGCCTGCTTCGCCCCACACACTGCATCTCATCTCTAACCAGTCAGGACACCGTGTCCCGAGCTACAGGGACTTCAAAAAGGAACTGCATGACTAGCTTACAGAGTAGCGGACCATGTCTTCAAAGGAGGAAGCGGGGACTGTATCACTAGAAAGGCACCTTCAGATGTAGCCTATGTAATTGGATAATCAGCCCTTGAGGGGGTAGACATCACATGACAGGAGACACAACATGTATAAAGTCTGTGTACTTTGAGTGAGGAGCGATAAAATCGTCCGTGTCTAAATGAGCACATGGTTCGACAAGAGTAGTTCCCTTTGAAAGAGTTAAAAAAAAAAAGAAAAAAGATCAAGAGTTCAAATTATAGGCTAATCCTTGACATTCCAGTCAGCAGCTGTGGTTACTGGTGGTACTGGTGCAAGTGATTTTTAATAACATGGACGCCCAGATTAATATTCGAAATGACAACTGTATTGACCACTTCAACTACTTTGTCAGAAACCTGTGTATCTGTTTCCAGCAGAGGATTCATCCTGTCACATTGTTTTAATAAAGAAGAAGGTGACTAAAATAGACACAGCCTGACTAAACAGAACTAATGAAATCTAGTGTTGTCTGCCACAACGCATTCAATTAATGCATTGTCTTCTGTTGTGCGTGGGAAACAAATTTTCTGTTGGAATTTCACGTTCACAGTATTTAACGCAAAACAGGCCGTCAAAAAATAAAATCGAGGTCATTGTTAGTCTCGTCGCCCAACGGGAAATGGCGAAAACTTGCGAGCCGTGCTGAATGAATAATCACGACACCAATTCATTTGACAGTGTGTTTTTTGGATTCGTGGCTTCACAGAATAGTCGACTAGTCGACACTGTGCATCGTAGTGGACTAGACGTGTCACGACAACCAATACGACTGAACACAGTTGATGCCAAAATCGCCCCAAAAAAACGTAGGTATCAGGGATCGAGGGACTAACGGCGTCCCTGAAAATGCTACATTGTGAGCGAAACATTGTTTAAATGTTGTTCAAAATAAATTCAAATAAAATACCTGTTAGAAATGTATATTGTCATTGTTTACAATTTAGTAAGTAGGATCCTAGCTATCGCTGCAGTTTAGGATTGAGTGCCACTCTTAAATCGTTTTTTTACAAAACCTTTATATCTTATCTTTGCAATCTGAAAATCATTGATTATTTTGGTGTGTTTTGTCAAATATGGTTCCAGTAAAAACTTCCATGACCAGACTTCAGCCTGTAAAATAAATGGCGGTCATGAATAACATCAAAAATTAGAGTAGATTTAATAAAAATCTTGAGGATGTTAATGATTATAACGTTAAAGTGTGAGACATTTGGATGAACAGTAGACAACTTTGTTCCTCCTGCTGTTATGCAACAGGTCATTGTGCTGCCGGGTGAAATGGTTTCACCTGTGTTGGGGGGGGGGGGGGGGGCAGCCTGACTTTCAGCACCGAGCTTAATGCCGTCTCCATTAGGGGGATCATATTTGTGCTTCTGTAAAAGGGCCCTCAATGACTGGTGCACAGTAGCTGGCAGGTTACGCAATGTCAGCGAGCGGGAGGCAACGACTCAAGAAATGATGTTACGTAACTGAGGAGGCACTTTCACACAGCCCACTGGGCAGCCGAGTGGAAAATAGGGCGCTGTGGCGCTGGCAGAAGAGAGTGGAAGGAGGGGGAAAAAAAACAGGCATTGTGTGGATGTTTGGGGTAAAAAAGGAGGTGTGTGGGAAACGTCTCGTCAGGCTGAGAGGATGAAGGTATTCTGCCTCGCTGGAGGCAACGAACGTGCGCGGATACAGAAAGAGCTTTGTGTGAATAGAGATGTCGTTTCTCATTGTAATGCATGAGGCACTTTGAGAGTGTCCCGTTTAAATAAAGGCGAGCCATCTCACCCCGGTCCTTCAAGTTGAGGAAAGAGGAATTCGGGGCCTGAGGCGAAGGGCAAGTGGCCGAAGAGGAGCCAGAGTGAATGAAAGAGAGAAAGAGAAACTCCCGGCAGAGCCCCATTAGTTTCTCGTTTATTCACTTTGCTGCACAAAAGATGCATGGCTCCAATTTGTCAAGCACAGGAGACGTGGCTGGATCGCGCAGCTGAATTCGGGTCTGGAGCCGAGAGAGACTTAGTGAGCCATGCTGCGATGTGTCCCGTCTGGACTCCATCACACGCTAACAATGTATTTCCACTGGGGCCTGACACATGTCAGCCAGTAGTCCCTAATGTATTCTAGGCATCTCCGTTCCACAGGAACTAACAGATGTGACGCCCCAATGTGGACTCTGGGAATTGTAATCCAGCCAACCCTACATTTAAAAAGTTAAACGTTCACATTCTTTAAACACCAGCAACAAGCAACGGTTTTTTTTTGGTGCCATTTATTTGGTTTTCTGAAACTGCAGAAGCAAAGCGATTCAGCAACAATCAAAACGTGCACTTAGTGGTGATGAAATTGAACCATCACCACCACCGTGAAACTGCTGTTCATTAAAGTAACGAACGGAAAATAATAAAAACGTCCGTCACAGACTGTGGCTCACCGCTCCCGTGCGAAATTACGTTTGTTTTGTCGGTTTTCCTTACAGAAAAAGAGAGTCAAGTGTTGAAAAAATCCAATATTGGGCAGCAGCTGGAGGACCAGGTGGGTAACTACAGGGTGGGCTGATCACTGCTCCATGCAGCTACACCACTAATCACCACCACGAGGAGAAGAAGAAGAAGAAGAAAGCAAAATAGGACAGAAAATAGACAGTCGGTGGAGCTGCTGAGCTCATTCTAAAGTATCTGAATTCTTCATGGCCGTAATGTTGATGCTCCAGGCTGTGGGCAGCAGCTCAGGCAGAACATCTCTCCCACCCTGACCTCTCCCACGCCTGGTCATAGGTTTCACAGCCTCCCTTGCAATGACTGTGACTTTAATATTGTCATAAAAACCTCCCTCACTTTCTCCATCCTCCCCAGGTTTGACGTGTGCAGCTAATTCCACCCGTTCATCATCCTTACAGTTGACTCGGCCCCTGGGCGCTCTCCACCCAATAAGACACCACCCCCAACCCGAAATAACTCCCCAAGGACGGATCTCAGTATGTTACGTAAAAATAAAAACACGCATCACAGAGGAGCCGTGACTCACTCGCTGCAGCGAATTAAATCTTCTGCGCAGACGAATACTCAGAGATGCATGAAATCTGTATTGGAGGAAATTAAATCTTATTTGCACAGATATTCATTGCCTGCCAGCGACTCTCGGGACCCATGAGCAGCAGCTGTGGTGTTTGCTGCCTCTCCTGTTACATAACAGGACTGCCATGCACTCACATAATTGATTTTGACCCCTGTGACAGCTCTGATGCGCGCTGTGAAGTGTAGAAAAAGATCAACGTCGAAGAACAAATGTTTCTGTTCCCAGCATGCGGCCGAACGTAAACACGGGATCACTCACAATTAAACGGGGCAGCAGCACGTTCCCTAAAAATACGCTGAATATCGGGAATATTCAGATTAGAAACGGAGAGGGACATTTTTGTTCATCTTCATGACCTGTGCTCCTTTAATCCTCTGCTTTGCTCTTATCCGTGCGCATTTATTTCACTGTAAACATCTGTTAATAGTAAATAGATGATGATGCCATCATCCACACTGTGACTAAGTGTGACTCTTTGCCCAAGTGAATCTGTTGCATCCCCATCTTTGTTTACAAGGATGCAAGAGATGCATGTTGACATGTTTTCAGTCTTTGTTTACAAGGATGCAAGAGATGCATGTTGACATGTTTTCAAT